ACAAAACCACAAAAAATGAGGATACAAAAAGACCCAAAAAAAGTCCACAAAAATAGGACAAATGACGTCACAAAAAAAGATAAAAGAAAGTGTGATAAAAACGCAACAAAATAAATGGCCAAAAAAGGCGACAAAAAAGGCCACAAAAAGAGGACTCAATAAAAGCAACAAAAAAGATCACAAAAAAAAACCTCACACAAAAGGCTACAAAAAATGCAACAAAAAAAAGCCACAGAAAAATGAAAAAAACTTCGATAAAGGAAAGCGATTAAAAAAACACAAAAAAGCTTACAAAAAAGCTCACAAAAAAAGGCCACAAAAAGTCTGCAACAACTAGAAATTTAAACTCCACAAAAAGAGAAATAGTTTCACAGAGAAAAACGGTAAAAAAGCACAATAAACACGATAAAAACAAAACGACAATAAACGAGGTTAAAAAGTCCACAAAAAATGGGACAAATGAAGCCATTAAAAAATATATAAGAAAGCGCGATAAAAAAGGGACATAAAAGACCACAAAAAGAACTCACAGAAAAATACGATAAAAAAACACAGAAAAATGACAAAAACTTCGATAAAGAAAAGTGATAAAAAAGCCACACAAAAGCTCACAAAAAAGGCCATAAAAAGTCTACAACAAGTGGAACAAAAGAATCCACGAAAAGACAAAAAGTTTCATAAAGAATAGTAATAAAAAAGGAACCAAAGAAACAACAAAAAAAAAGACGAAAAAAAATCAACAAAAAATGGAGACAAAAAAGGGTGTAAAAAAATATACAAAAAATGAGGCGATTAAAGCAAAAAAAATTACAAGAAAAAACAAGACAAAAGGTCACAAAAAAAGTCAGCAAAAAGTTCACAACACATTGGGACAAAAGAAGCCACAAAAAACACAGAAATGCGGCAAATAAAGCCACAAAAAAAGACTACCAGAAAGCACGATAACAAAACCTTAAAAAGTGAGAAATGAAGCCACAAAAAAACGACTACAAGGAAGTGTGTTAAAAAAATAACAAGAAACAAAAAAAAACGCAAAGAAGTTACAAAAAAATTACAGAAGAACACAAAACGTTCTATAAAAATAATAAAAAAGCGACCAAAACAGCCAAAAAAACGACAAAAACTGAACAACAAAAAAAATGAGGAAAAAACACGACAAAAAAAAGACGAAAAAAAAGTTCATAAAAAAATGCGATAAATAAAGAAACAAAAAAACGACGACAAAAATAAGCAAGTACAACAAAAAGCTTAGTAAAGAAAAGCGATAAAAAAAGAACCAAAAAAAATTGGAACAAAACACACGAAAAAAAAAAAGCATTAAAAAAATTGCAAATAAGAGAAAACACTCTATAAAGAAAAACGGTAAAAAAGCCAAAAATAAAAATATAAAACACCACAAAAAAGGCGAAAAGTCTACAAAAAAAATCCACAAATCCAGCCACAAAAAATGACGACAAACAAGTGACAAAAAGGGCCAAGAAAACGCGTAAAAAAGGGCCACAAACAAAGGTTACAAAAACTCCACAGTAATGCGATAAAAATGCCACAAAAACAAGACAAAAACGTCGATAAAGAGAAGCAATAAAAAATACGACAAAAAACGGGGTAAAAAGTCACCCAAAAACTGCAAAAAAGTGACAGTAAATCGTTGCCCTTTTTTGTCGTATTTTTTATGTCCTTTTTTGTAGCATCATTTTTTTATAACCTTTTTTCGCATTTTTGTCCCTTTTTTATGACAAAAAAAATAGTTTAAAATTGCTATAAAGAAAAACGATAAAAAAGCACAATAAAAACCACAAACACAACAGAACAATAAAAGAGGCCTAAAAAAGACCATAAAAAGGTGCAGAACCACAAAAAAAGCAACAAAAAGAGACCTCCAAAAAAAGACTCACAGAAAAAGTGTCAGACACGAAAAGGCTCCAAAAAATGCGACAAAAAAAGCCACAGAAAAATGACAGAAACTTCCATAAAGAAAATCGATAAAAAAGTAGCCACAAAAAAGCTCAAAAGAAAGAAGACCATAAAAAGTCCAGAACAAGTGGAACACAAGAATCTACGAAAAGACAAAGCGTTCGATAAAAAAAAGCGATAAAAAAAACACAATAAAAAGGACAAAAACAAAACGACAAAAAATGAGGATAAAAAAGATCTAAAAAAAGTCCACAAAAAATAGGACAAATGAAGTCCCAAAAAAAGATACAATAAAGTGCCATAAAAAAGCCACAAAAAAGTGGTTGAAAAACACGACAAGAAAAGGCCACAAAAAGAGAGCTTAAAAAATCAGCAAAAAACACAACAAAAAAAGCTCACACAAAAAGTTCACAAAGAAAGGCTCTCACAAAAAAGGCTACAAAAATGCAACAAAAAAGACACAGAAAAGCTCACAAAAAAGGCCTCAAAAAGTCCACAACAAGTAGAACAAAAGACTCCACGAAAAAGAAAAGCGATAAAAAAGCACAATAAAAACAACAAAAAGAAAACGAAAAGGATAAAAAGGACCTAAAAAAAGTCCACGAAAAATGGGATCAATGAAGCCACTAAAAAAGTTACAAGAAAATGCGATAAAAAAGGAACAAAAAACGCGATAAGGAAAAGGCCACAAAAAGAGGGCTTAAAAAAGCAAGAAAAAAATACCACAAAAAAACTTACACAAAAAGTTGACAAAGAAAGGCTCACACAAAAAGGCTACAAAAAAATGCAATAAAAAAAAAGCCACAAAAAATTACAAAAACTTCCATAAAGGAAAGCGATAAAAAAGCCACAAAAAACCTCACAAAAAGGGCAACAAAAAGTCTACAACGAGTAGAACAAAAGACCCCACGAAAAGACAAAATGTTCCATAAAGAAAAGTGAGAAAAACCAGAATAAAAACTACAAAAACAAAACGACAATAAATGAGGTTAAAAAAAGGCATAAAAAAAGTCCACAAAAAATAAGACCAATAAAGCCACAAAAAAATATACAAAAAAACGCGATAAAAAAACGAAACAAAAAGGTGCACAAAAAGAAAACCCAAGAAAAGCAACAAAAAAGACCACAAAAAAACTCACACAAAAAGTCTACAAAAAAAAACTACAAAAAAATGCGATAAACAAAGGCCATAAAAAGTCCACAACAAGTGGAACAAAAAAATCCACGAAAAGACAAAAAGTTATATAAAGAATAGCAATAAAAAAGGAACCAAAGAAACAACAGAAAAAAAGCCGAAAAAAAATCAACAAAAAATGGAGACAAAGACAGGGTGTAAAAAAATATACAAAAAAAGAGGCGATTTAATCCAAAAAAAAAATTACAAAAAAACCAAGGCAAAGGAAGGTCAAGAAAAAAGGCAACAAAAAGTTCACAACCTATTGGAACAAAAGAAGCCACAAAAAACACAGAAATGCGGCAAATAAAGCCACAAAAGAAGACTACAAGAAAACACGATAACAAAGCCTTAAAATTGAGAAATGAAGCCACAAAAAAACGACTACAAGGAAGTGTGTTTAAAAGAATTACAAGAAACAAAAAAAACCGCAACAAAAAAATCCTTGAAAAAATCCACAAAAAAAGTTACAAAAAAAACTACAGAAAAACACAAAATGTTCTATAAAAACAATAAAAAAGCGACCAAAATTGCCATTAAAACGATAAAAACTAAACAACAAAAAAATGAGGACAAAACACGACAAAAAAAGACGAAAAAAAAGTTTACAAAAAACCTACAGAAAAACACAAAACGTTCGATAAAAACAATAAAAAAGCGACCAAAATAGCCATAAAACGACAAAAACTAAACAACAAAAAAATGAGGAAAAAACACGACAAAAATAAGACGAAAAAAGGTTACAAAAAAATGCGATAAATAAAGAAACAAAAAAACGACGACAAAGAAGGGCATACAAAAAAAGGGACAAAAAGTGAGACCAAAAAACGGGCCATAAAAAGTCCACAAAAAAATGAGACCAAAAAAAAAAAAAAAACAAAGTTTTTTTTCTCTCAAAAAACCACAACAAAGAAAGACACAAACAAAATAACAAAGACAAAGCAACAAAAAAGGAATAAAAACGCGACAAAAAATTGCGTTAAAAACTCCACAGGAAGTGTGACAAATCCCTAAACCCACAAAAAAGACGGCAAGAAAGCACGATAAAAAAGCACCAAAAATAGGCCCAAAAGTCTACAATAAAAAAAACTATTGTAAAAAACACGAAAAAGACAAAAGCTTCGATAAATAAAAGCGACAGAAAAAATTGCAAGAAACGTGGCAGCGATTTTTTTATAGGTTTTTTAAATCACATTCTTGTTGCCTTTTGAACTCTTTTTTCTTTTTTTTAGGACTAAAAATGTGCCACCTGAGGATTTTGGTGTTTTGAGGATTTGGGGATATAAGTGTTTGGAGGATTTGAAAATTTTGGTGTTTTGATGATTTGAGGATTTCGCTATTTTGAAAATTTGAGAATTTTGGTGTTTCGAGCATTAAGGATTTTGGTGTTTTGAGGATTTGGGGATTTTAGTGTTTTAAAGATTTGAGGATTTCACTGTTTCAAAGACTTGAGGATTTTCGTGTTTCGAAAATTTGAGGATTTTGGTGTTTTGAGGATTTGGGGATTTTGAGGATTTGGGGATTTTGAGAATTTGGGGATTTTGGTGTTATGAGGATTTGGGGCTTTAAAAGTGACAAGACAATCCAAAAAAGTAATTCTGACATTTCAGTCCAAAAAAGTGACACTTCTGGGTGGTGATCAGGGACGTAAAACGAGTAAATTTGTAATGGTCACCTAAAAAAATGTTAAAAAACGCGACTTAAAAAAGTAACTTCCGAACAATTTCAAAAATCTAGCTACAGTATCACCCCAAACACGCTCCTTTTTTCAAATCCGGCCCCTTACAAAAATTTCGACATTTTTGCAACCATCTTCCAAAATTACCAAAAGAAATTTTTTGGAGTTTCGACCTCATTTCGCTCCACCTTTACAACCTCCCCTCTGCCGCCATTTCGAACAAATAAAACCACCTCAACTTTCTCCTTTTATTGCAAAATCACATCATCCACACTCCACCGCGAAAAACAATAATTTATTCCACATATAAAAAAAATAAATAAAAACTACATAAACACGTAAATAAATCACAATAAATCCCTCACTTCCATGGCGGCTTCCCCTTCATATCCTTCCCCAACTTCTGAAAAAGCTCCTTCGTCACCTGTCCATCCTCGAACCCCCTCTTCTCCAACAACTGCAACACACATGCCACTTAAATCCCCCCACAACACCGCCTTACCATCTGAATCGTCTCCTGCAAAGTCCCCTCCTTCCGCTTCGCTCCTTTCTCGTTCCGACTCGTCACCGGCGTCTCCCCCTCCCTGAACCGCGAATCATCAAGCTCCGCCTTCCGCGTCCGCTCCTCCTCCGCCATATTAAAAGACAAAATCTCCTCCAGATTGTTGAACGACTTGGACCGGAAAGAGTTCATTTCGTCCAGGGTGGTCATGTGGTCTTGCTTGAGACTTTCCATGAACTTGTGAAGTTGTTTCTCGATGTGGAGGTGTTTGTCGTGCTGGCGCTTCACTCTGACGTTGGCTTCCTCGAGCTCGTGGCGCAGCTGCGAGATCTGGACTTGGTAGAGGCGGGATTCTTCTTGGTGCTTTTCTTCGAGGAGTTTGATTTCTAACGAGTGCCTGTGTTGTCAAAAATAATAAAAGCGACACTAAGAATATTGTATTTATACTTTTCTGAAATTTGTTGTATGTGAGAGGCTGCGGTTTTTGCAATTGATAGTTCTTTTCTGGACAACTCTTCTTTTAAAGCTTTTTCGGCGTCGTCCAACTGGGTTTGGAATTCTTTGAGTTTGCTTTGTACCACGAGTTCGACCTGGCCTTGGTAGAAGTTTTTAAGTTCGATTTTGTTGTTTTCCATTTGTTCTCTGGCTTTGGTTAACTCGTCCTGGAGACCTCTCTAGACATTATTATATATTAAGTCGGGTTTTTTGAGACACGAACTTACCGATATGCTTTTATGGGCGCTGATTTCTTCCAACAATTTATTTTTCTGGTCACCAATTTTCTTATTACTCTCTTTTTCTACTTCTAGCTTCGTTTGAAGGGTTTCATTTTCGCTTTTCATTGTCAGAAGTTCGTTTTGGCACATTTCCACCGTTTTTTTGCACTGAGACACTTCTTTCCTAGCTTCAGCCAGAACCGACTTACACTATAAAAAAAAAAAATACTCACACAAAATTATGACACATATAATTGTTTATACATCGTTTAGTTCTAAATCTTTTTGGGCCAAAATCTCCGGATATTGCCGATTCTTCTCCACTTCTCCTAAATACTTCTTATGAAGCTCATCTGAGTCACTCTGAGCCGTTTTCACCTCATTCTCTAGTTGCTCACACCGCTTTTCCAACATTGCTACTTTATCTTGACTAGCGTGAGCTATATTTAAAGCCAAAGAAGTTTCCTTTTCATAGTGTGCTATTTTCTGATTGGCTTCATCGCAATCCTCATTCAATCTCTTTCTTAATTTCTCTACTTCTTCCTCCAGACGTTCTTTTTGTTTTTCTATATCTTGCAACTTCGCACCCGCTTTCTCCCAAGATTCGTGAAAACGCACGATCGCTTTATCTTTAGCTTCGTCGACTTGAATAGCCACGGCTACGCGTTCCTGTAGTTCGAGAACGCGGTTTTGGAGATCTTGAATCGCTTGCTCGCAGTGCTGAAAAAGTTCGAATTCAAAATTGGCGCGCTAAATTCGACCAATCAAGTCGCGTCTACGCACGTAACGATTACTTGAAAACTAACCTGTCTCCTTAACCTCTCTTCATGCAATTTCTGTTGAAACTTTTCTGGTACTTCCCGCAAATCGTTCGATTTCCACAGTTTCGCTAAACTAACCAAACCCAAGTTAAAATCATCGTCTGTATTGTTCGGTTTTGATTTGTAACTGAATTTATTAAAAGCCGTCATTTGAGTGGACTCAGAGCTGCTATCAGTGTCAGTTCTTTCGAACGAATTATCGAGACGCTTTTTTTCCTCACAATATAGTGTCTTTCGGGCGCCATACCCATAATCCGGGACACTACCCACGTTATCACCGGCTTGCCATACCTTCTCCTTCACACACGGCTTCTCCACATTCCTTTCCATTTTTTTATCCTCCAACTCCACCTCCCTCAACATCTCATTCACCTGATTCATATTCAACTTCTTTGTATTCACACCCTCCAAGTCAAAATCGTTCTCTAAATTCCTCACCGCGTTCATCCTCTTTATCATTTTAACATTCGAAAGAAAACTATCAATTTCGCCCAACATGGGGCTAAATTCGGGTTTTTTAGACCTCAAGATTCGTTTCTGTGGCGACTTTTTCAGTTTTTCGATATCAGGGCTATTTGGTAAAGAACTCATTGTAAACTTGGTGCGGGGCTTCTGCGGCGTACTCTGGGTGCTACTCGAACACGTTTTCTCGTCGCTGAATTTACGTGATTGCATCTCCGGCGACTCACTTATCAAACTAACGCTTAACTCAGAAGAGCTTTCAATCAGGTTGATCCGGGTCTCTAAATGGTTCACCTGAGTTATCAAACAGTCTACAACGTTGTAATAGGGCTCCAGGTTTTGTAAATCGGGGTTTGGGGCGAACAAATCAGGGGGGATCAGTAGCAGCTCGTCCGTATCATCTGTTTCGCTCATAACTTACAAAGGGGGTTAAAACACACAACATAACCTAAAATTAAAAACTGAGTCGTGGGCGGGCTTAGAGCTTTGTATGCATTATAGGGGGTGTTTGAGGGGGCAAACAAGCTTTAAAATGGTCTTGGAATTAATGCAACACTTCAAACTAAGTTGTTTGGTTGTTTGTCAACAAAACGCGCAGGAATCCATATTTTGTCGCATCCATACTATTCCATACTAGTCGAGGTTAATAAAATTAACAACAAAACTAAAAATAAACACGTTCAGTTATTAGTAGTAATATAATTTAACGTAGTTTGAGCGACTGGTTGTTTCTTGGATTTATGTGTGTTTTAGTCACAAAAACCACGAAGTATGGTTTGTGCCAAGTATGCGTAACAATTTTCTGGCTAAGGTTTCCATCCCGTGATAAGGCAGCAATAATGACAGTTGTGACATCGCGACTTTGACACTTCTTATCAAAACAGCAATTACGCATACCTCAACAATGTAACACAGTCCCCGGTTTCCCCAAAAAGTGCGAATTTATAATGCGTATCGCTTATTTATTTTATTGACCCAGTTTGATATGTTTTCATGTACATTCCGCCCCGTCCTAACCTAACTACGATGGCTCACAATTCAGATAATACTCACCCAAGACTGTTGATGACCCATTCTAGTAGCATTCCGAGCTTCCAGCGGCGCACCGCGGACGGTGCGAGACAGCTTCGTGACAACTTCAATAACGTAATTCGCGAAATTCAGCCCCTGGTGGAGACCGCCCGGACCGTGAACGCAGGAGTGCAGAATGCCATCTCGATGACGAATTTTCTGAACAGGCCGCAAGAATTACCCCAGAGTAGTAGCGATAATAGTTTTGTGATAGACTTGGATGTGAATCAGGAGCCCGAGCCGAGCGTGGAGAGAGGGAATAATAATAACGAAGACTTGAATAATGTGGAGAGGGCGCAGACTGTGGCTGAAGCGCAGCAGTTTCTGCAAGTGGTTCTTCAGTATGTGCCGTTTATTTTGATCCTGTTGGCGAAGGCTGTGTACGATTATCACGATTCTATTTTTATTTTGGTGATTTTGTTTGCGACTTTTGCGCATACGAATTCCGCTGTGAAGAAGGAGACTACAAAGAGGGATAGGAGGAGTCTGGGGACTTTGGCCATCGAGTTGTTGTATATTTTTGCTTGCTGTGTTTTTGTACATTATATTTTTGAGGATGAAATGAGTAACTACAATGTGGTGTTCCATCTGGTTTTGATCCGGACTTTTACTGAACCACTCACAGTGGGGAAGTTGTTGTGGATCGTCACGATTACGGATTTCGCGCTCAAGCTGGTCACTGTGACGGTTAAGATTTTGTTAACTATGCTTCCAGAGAAAATCGTCCCGTTTCAGAAAAGGGTAATGATTTGAGTGATTTTGTGCAAACTTTATTTTTCTATTCTAGGGGAAGGTTTATCTTTTTATTGAAGCCATTTCTCAAATGTACCGCAGTATTGCCACAATACAGCCTTGGTTGCATTATCTTCTGGAATCATACCAAGGCCCGGAAAAAATCGTAGCTGTATTTTTATCCGCGTTTTATATGATATCTAAAGGGACTGACTTAATGTCGAGAATGAGGCTCCTGAAGTCCTCCTTTTTCAAGTTGCTCCAAAATGTGGTGAGTTGTCAGCAAAAAAGAATCATTTTTTCGGCACTCGGGCTTGGAATCAAATACAATTATCGTTAAAATTCCACTGAAATATGACTAATGCCCCCGTATTCTAAATATAAAAAGGATAAAGATTACATATTTTCAATAAAGCTAAAATAAAGATAACCCAGAAGCCCACTTTGGACGGAACCTTTGATCTTTGATAATTGCGCAGAAGTGAACGATTTTCGGTTACCACTGCGCAAGGCATGTTGCCATATCGTTACAAAATTGTTTCAAATTGATTGTTTGATCTGAAAACGGTAGTTAAAACAAATAAAACACAATCCTGAACAAACATTTTTATTGAAGATAAATTTAAACATAATATATTAAGTATTTAACTCAATTCAAACAAGATGGTGAACCGCCCCATGTACAATTTTAGACGGTGGGTTCTTCGCCCAGCAAGGAGCAAATCCAGACCGCAGGAGACCACTGCCCCATTTGCCACGACGAGTACGACTCCCCTGTTCTCCTCCAATGCAGACACATCTTCTGCGAGAATTGCGTCACCACATGGTTTGACCGAGAGCAGACGTGTCCTCTATGTCGCGCGAAAATCGTAGATGACCCATCATGGAGAGACGGTTCTACTTCATATTTTATACAACTGTACTGATTTATTCTCATTATATATTTATAACATGTTGATTATTTTTTTAAATGTCCCGCCATTTGTGCCTGGAAGAAGTCGCCATCGCCACGTGTCGCTTGCTGATTGATGGCTTTGTGTCTGTCGCGACTCACGACTTCCTCGATTACTTCCCCATCACCCTTGATCAGTCGGTGTCGTCCGGTGGCCTCGTCGTACACCCGACGCACGACGCTCTGGCGCTTTTCCCACTCTTCTTTGGTCAGGGGGGCCATGGCTTTCGACTTTGTCATTAAATCCAACGGGATATCAGAACTGGCTTCACCGGTCTTCTTGGCTTTGCTTTTTTGTTTCTGTTTTTTCTTTTTCGACTTCTTTTTTTCGTCGGATGAGGACGAAGAGGTGTCGGTGGAAGTGTCAGACGACGACGACACGTGCTTTCTTTTTTTTAATTTCTTTTTGTCTTTAGAAGAGCGGCTCCTTTTTCTGCGCTTCGGGGAGCTGTCCTCGTCGCTACTAGTTTCAGAGTCGGAACTAGTGGACGGCTTTCTTCTTTTTTTGTGAGAACCCATTCTAGAAAAATACGTGGTTAGTACGGTCCTGTGCACAACCCGGTCCTGTTCGGGTCATGTTTGTATGGTATGCAGTCAATCGGTCGTTACGCAGTTCATAATTATTAATCTATAATTTCACTGCAGCAACATTTCCCACCAGTCTTCCACAAAAATGTATTTATTAAAAAATCGAATCAATGTGTTGTTCCTTCAGCTTTATTTTTTGAAAAAACAGTTACTAAAATGTGCGGGTAAAATCGACGACACGTCGGTGTGACAGCACACTCAAAGTAAACAAACGTCATCCGATTTTTATTACTTCAGAAAATTTATTTATTTCACGTTTCTGCTATCAGTATTTACGTTTTTACAACCTCATCTTCATTTTTAGACACGTTTTTATCCATTTAAATAAAAAATGCAATAACCTCAAACTTGTGTCCCCTCATGCTCGCCCCTTTTCAAACCTGTACTTACACTTTCGCCCCCTTGATCACATAAAACACGACTTAAATGCACGTTTTCTCCCGTTCCAAACAATTCTGGCACCTTCCAGCCCAGAAAATCAATTGCCAGCTCGCCCTGTCACTTGTCAAACCCTCATGTTAAGTGACAATTGAGGTTATGTTTGCACGAAACCATGGATGCCACCAATAAACCGTACGTAAAATTCCAGCCGAACGAGGAGTACCTCGAGTCCCTCATCTCCATGGGCATCTCCGAAAGTCACGCCCAAGAAGTGTGTATACGCGCCCCCACAGCCCCCCATTGATTTTGTCTTGTAGGCCCTCTTTTGTACTGGCAACGAATCAGTGGAAGCCGCTATCAGCTACGTTTTCACGAACTTACTCCAAGAAGACAACGAGGACCCGAGCGTGGTGCAGAGGGGCGCCGTCGCCGAGAACTGCTATGAAGAATCTGCTAAGCGATACAAAATGTCATTTGTGGTCAACACGGCTTTGAAAATGGGAGTGGGGAAGGTGGCGGCTCAAGTGAGTGAGACGAGGGGTGATGACAGGGTTTGATGGGTGTTTTCAGGTGGCGCATGCATGTTTGGGGCTGTACCGGGAAATGAGGATAACGGGGGAGAAGGAGGACGCGTTGAACGAGTGGGATTATTTCGGGTAAGGGGGTAATGGGTGTGTGAAAGTCCTGATTTGGGGGTTGTAGGGAGAAGAAAATCGTTTTGAAGGGGGACAACACCGAACACTTAGAGGAACTGTTCAATAAGGCGAAAGAACTAAATATACCTTGCTATTTAGTGTCAGATTCCGGATTTACACAAATTCCAGCTGGGTCCGTTACCGTTCTCAGCGTTTTCGGGGACGAAGATGAGGTTGATGCTATCACGGGAACCTTAAGCTTGTTATAATGACAATATGTTTTAAATTAATTTATTTATGATAGGACCAGACTCCTTTGATATTGATAGTATTTAATGTGTTGATTTTTTATTTTTTATTTATTTATTGTAGAAGTAGATGGTGACTCTGTAAGAAACACGGTTTAAAATTTTCAACATGAAATCAACCTAGCATGCGCAACCTTAGTCAGATGTACAATAATGTGTATACGATCATGGAATAAACTTTTGTTGCAGATGTACACAGTGTTTGATTTGTCTAGAAAAGTAGAAAGAGGGTGGAGCTTCATTGGATCAACCAATGACAAAAGTTGTAAAAAATCGTAAAAACCCGACTTAAATTTAGTTTTAAGTGACACAACAACTTCTCTACAGGGCGTAAACCTTTAAAAAAAAACAGTATTCGTTTAAAATTCAGTACCATAAATAAAGTAAAACAACAAATAATTAGTGGCAGTTTCGACACGCACTGTTGGCGTAACAACGAGAATTAGAGCGTAACGTAATAAATATTTCAGAGTGTGAAAAATAATCTTTTTTAATAACGCCGTTGGATCAGTTTCAGATATAGCAACTATTTTCAAAGGCGTGGCTATTGATTTTTTTTGCTGAGTGCACTTTCACCTTTAGGATTGAAAAATTGCTTTGGGGGTTTTTAGGTTGTTTATCCTACGATTCACGTCGCCACGCCAACCAGTCTACGTCTATGACAGCCGTTTTAAGTTTATCTTGCTTAACTAAACTGTGCTATTTTGAAAATCAACATTAAATTTCCAACACAAATAAAAGATATTCTGTTCGCGGTTGTTTACCATTTTGTATATGAGAACACATCGCGCCATTTTGTTATACAATTTAAGAAAGTCCTCTACTTTGATGAAGTCCCAGGCATCGTTTACGTTTTTTGAGTGTGATCCCGTGGTGTTAGGCAGAAATTTGGATTATTTTACAAAATAAATGCGTGAAGTTACATTATTGTTGCATTTATCGGGTAAATGGGAAATTTGTCAAAAATTGTTGCTGATTTTTGTTGTCAGGTTGGCGACAAATTTAAAATTTTGTGACTGCACCTGCTTAGCCTGAAATTTTCTCATTGGTTTTTAGGGGTTTAAATACTTTTTGACTTTTCTAATTTATACATATACGACTTTGATCTCATTAATGATTGAAGCAAATTTTTGTGTTGGCAGCTCTGAATTATTGGCAGCAGTGTTACCAAATTAGTCAAAAATTTCAATTTGAAAATCAAGTACGCCGTCATTAAATCACGTGATGGGTCGTATACAGCGTGTTATTGAAAGGTACGTACAAAATAAAATCGACAATTGGTCTCGACGAATGGGTGCTAAAAGTTAAAAAAAGTTCAGGTAAAAGTGTTCTCCTTTTAGAGATAAAAATTATTGAAATTTATGTCCAAATTTGTTGTACGCCTCTGATAAGCGTCTAAAAAGGTTGAATAAGGGTTAATTTTCCCGTTATAATATTGATAATACAAAATAAGTTTTTCTGACTTCTTAGACTTCGCGAAGAACTGTCATTTTTTTTGTACGTACCTTTCAATAACACCCTGTATAAAAAGTCGCACTTGTAGGTACATGTCAACCGAGCTTACAGTAGTTTTACTCCTTATACCGTATAATTTTCAAATTTCTGCTCTAGCTGGCCATGAAGGGTGCGTCAGTGCAGCTGAAACGACTGACGTTAGCGTCATGCAGTGTTACCAGAAAAGAATTGTTTGTTCTCCCCAAGTCACAATAAAAACATCTCCAAAAATCTCCACCCTTCCTTACCTAACAATCCACCAGAAAAATTTCCCATAGTACATATTTAAACGTTTTGTTTTATATATAAGAACACTATAAATAAAAAAATAATGCAAGTTATCAAAACATACTTTTTTTCAAGAAATTGCACTCTAATTGTCAACAATTTTGAAGTCCCCTCTAAATTTATAGTCCCCAAATTTTCCCCGACTGTAAAAAAACAATTTTTGGGTGAAATTCCTCAGTTTGGCAACACTGTCGTCATGACCAACTAGAGCAGACATTTAAAAAATCACGTGGTATTAGTTGAAGAAATAATAATTATAAGTGAGATATTTCGATGACATTTAGTATTATTCCATGATTTTTTGGTTTTCCAAATGGTTTCGGTTGTCTGTCTGTTTATAGATGGCATTACTTCATCCCGACTTGACGTGACTAGACCTGACCTGATCTGACTTGAGCTGACCAAATTTGATCTGACCTGATCTGACCTAAGCTGAGTTGAGTTTTTACTTTACAGAATTTTGTGATGATGTCATCAACATTTCTGCAAGGACATATATATCAACTTGGAATGGTGCAATATAGTATAAAAATAACAGTACTGCATTCCCAAAATTTTCTGGGAAAATGGAGTGAGCCGTTCCTGATTTAATCTATAAAATAAATTGACACATTCATTATTTTTTTTGAGCCACCTGTATAAGCAAATCTAAAAAATATGAATGCAATGATAAAGTACTTTTGAGTAAATATCTAGATTTTCTCTTGAGAGTATTTTTGAAACATTTCTTGATTGACGTTTTTAAAAAGAAATTCCATACATAAGAAATTTTAAATTTATTAACCATCAAATGATGAAAACCTAAAATGGGACTTATGAACTTGTTGTTGACGTTGACGTTCCCGTTATAGTTGCTGTTCCCGCTGACGTTCCTTTAGAGCTGAAAATTGTTTCTTGCTGTGGAAATAAGTCTACACATATTAAGAAAAAAAAGCAAATTATAGAACCCCGCCCACCCACCCTGTCTCAATTGTGATAATTTTTTATTCATCGTGATCCAAGGGGGCGGAGCTTAACTGTAAAATCCTTATTTCTCCACGAGAAATTAAAAACATGTTTTTGAGTATCGTGTTGTTTAAAGAATTCTATGTATATTAAGAAAAAAATTAAAGCCAAAGATTAGGCCCCACCCATACTGGCCCCGGTCTCAACTCTCAAAATAAATTTTTCGTTCAAAATAAATTTTTCATTCGTTGTCAAATCGAGGGGCGGGGCTTAATTGCAAGATCCATATCCCTACAAGTAAAAACTAATCATATTTTGTACATTTGGGGTAGATTTAGGAATTCAACTTGTTACTATCGAAATTTGCAATTTAACGGCTTTAAATTTTACAAGTTTTTACAAAATTAATAGGGGCAAAATCAGTTTAATCTTAACAAATATTAGGCCCGCCCACTCGCCCCCTAACTTCCCAGAGGATATGTCATTTGCCGAAATAAGTCTTATCTTATCAAGTAGTAGCCCCGCTCACCCGCCCCCTATTTTCTCAGAAGATGTGTCATTTGCCAAAATAAGACTTATGTTAGAAAGTACTAGCTCCACTCCCCCGCCCCTTATGTTCTTCTAGTGCTAGTACTTATTTTAATTTTGCGGACATTCTCATAAATAGAGAGCGATTACTTCGGAAGGATCGTTATTGATTCAGTCTAGTATTACTTAAGAATAGGAATAGAGTATTCAGTGCAAATGCTGGTTCTATACTTATCCCTCACTTTTTTCTTCATCCTTTCACAAGTTAAGAGAAGACGTTTCCGTGGACGCAATAAATGAATCCATGTTGAGTAAATCTTTCTTCTTTTTTTGTAGACGTTAGCATAACTGTAATTTTATGATTTTTCCAGCGGTAATTAAAAAAAGCTTTGATACGCCACTGATAAATACCGCGAGTTCCAGTACAGCTCAAATATAAAGAGCACTAAAAATAAATTAGCTTATTAGTAATGTAAACCCCATTCTATAAATGTAATTTTACGACAGCAGTAAAACAACAATAAAAGCCGCTCCAACATCCGCTCTCAATTTTGGAATTTTTTGCATCCTTGTGTTGGCGCTCACGCCATCAATCAAACTCGAAACAAAAATCCATGAAGCTCATTTTAATCACATTCCATCGCAACAGCGCACAAAGCACTCGCCCTGCAAAATAATTCCGCATTATAAAAAATGCCCCGAAACCAAAAACGCCCTCCACGCCGGCACGTGCACTTTAAAAAATTAGTCTTGTAAACAGGCTCAAGCGACAGCCAATCAAAACATTGGGTTGGTAAATTTTTGCCAGAATGCCCGCGTTTATATTTATAATTAATTAATTAATTAAATTTATTTATCAATTTATTTAATTTACGTCAAATCTGTCACTTGTCACTCTCTTTTGACACTTACGTCTAGTGGCTAAAGCGTCAAAACTTTGACAAGTGTGCCAATTCTCTCCCGCTTCACGTAAATAAACCATTTTGTCGTTGTTATTATTATTGTTACCTCTCCGCCCATCGTCTCTCCACCCAAAACCGCGCCCAAAACAACCCATGCCGTAAATAAACCCATTCGAATCGAAAAAAACGAGTAAAAAAGCAGTGGCGCCGCGTCGGCGCATGCGCGTAGGCGTGCCCCAGCCGGCGTTGCGCCGTAACTGTCACAGATGACAGTTGGTCCCGTTTACTGCCGTGATCTTGGGTGTGTGAGTCGTGGTCGTGGTGAGCTTCTGTGCGAGTCTCGTGGTGCCACCGAGTCGTGCCTTGCCGTCTCCAGGCCGCCGCCGCCGCCCGCAGCCGCCGGCCGCGCCGTTCGTATGCAACCCCGATGGCCCCGTGCTGAACTGCTTGCCTAGCTGCCGGCGCCGCCGCCCCTTGGAGGCATGCTCTGACCGCCCCCGACGCGATGGCCGACGAGGAGGTACTCTTCGACGACGTCTACGACCTCTGCGAGGAGATAGGAAGGTAGGGACGCGGCCAAGGAGGCGACATGTGGTCTGAAGCATGGCACGACTCATGCTGGGGCTCTTTAAACGGTGTCTTGTTTGGGGGTGGCAGTTGGGGCTTGGTGGAGGGTGCGAGTGGGGGCGGAGGTCGGGGCGGTTAGAAAGAAATTAACAAAGTGGTGGTTGGGGGTGGTTGTGGTGGTTTTCGTTCGCATTGACGGTGACGAGAGGGAATTAAAGGACTGTTAAACGAAATTTTTGGTTTAGAGGCTGAGTCAGTGCATGGTCACAATATTTCAGCTATTTATATTCTTTAGTGGGATGAGTGTGGGATTTTTCTTGTTTTTGTTTGCTTAACTTTGATGGGTAAATACTGATAAGAGATGTCCACAGTTCAGTGATTCATTATGATGTACATATCAAAGTAATGTTATAAAAGACCGTATACATAGATGCCAGTGAGTCAACAAATTTTACTTTATATTAAATAAAAATCAGAAAATTGATTCAATCACGGTTGTCAACGTTGTAAAACTTTATCACACAGCTTGTTTGATTTACGACCGATTATTTAATCAAACTCTTTGTTAAAATGTTATGACATTTAAAGAAAAATGTGGTGTGACATTTTCTATCTTTGACATTCCAATTTAGTTTCGCATTTTTTAAAAATCCAATACTTTTCCCGCCAAACTAAGATCATTGTGGCACAATTTTGGTGTCTAACGTCACGTAAATGTGTGTCGAGTGTCTACGGTGATTTATAATGTGTAAATGTGCTATCCAAAAAAGACGGAATTAGAGTTGGCTATGGAATTTTGGTTGGTAATTCTGCTTATCAAGTTGTGTTGTAACCGATTTAGGTCAAGGTTAAACCGTAATAATTAATCCTTTTGAGAAAATACTTATAAATTAATTTTTCTTATCAGTCATGTTTATTCTGAAAATAAGTTTTTACAACAGGTTGCGTTCATTTATTTACGTCATAGAAATGTCAAAATAGTGTCATCTGGGGAAGTTGAGTCAGGTTATGTTAGGTTAGATTAATCATCGTATTGTATCGAATTGTAAGAAAATAAAAAGCAGCATATTTTAAGCATAATGGACATACAATAAAAATGAACAATGAATAGTTTAAGTTAATATTTTAGGTCTTTGGTTGTTTTAAAAAGTGACAAAAATACAATTCCGTTTTCAGTTATTTACTGCAGAGAATTTAGGATTTCTGCTAAAGATTGGACTTACCGTGTTATTCTTTCTATATTTGTCAAAATTATGCCACCCACATTACGTAGTCTGGTCTCAGTTCTCGAATCGGTTAGTCATCACTATGACGTCACAAATAAGTCAGAAATAACACTTACTTCAATAATAAAAATGTATGTTATTTTCTGTAAGAAGTAGCATACATAACCTCAAACTAATCTGGTACTATTACCGCACCTGAAGAAGTCAGGGAAGTCTAGACAAAACGTTGATTTATATATAACTTTGTTTAATCACTCTCACCAACAACGTGATGACGTCACCTCAAAATGGTACAGAGTAAATGTGTAAATTTTATCAAATAACATACTCCTACATGTGTGGTTTATGAATCCGTATTGAGTGTTCATTCGAGATTTAACCAGATTAAAAAAAATCAAAATTGTGTGGTCCTACGAAAGCTTGCAAATGTTGCGAGGTTAGCGTAAGCACGATAAATCGTTAATCGAAGTTTCTGCGTTTGCCCTCTCTAAAAAATTTTGACGTCATCTCAAAATTTTGCTGAGTAATCCTATCTAAAGTAATGAAAATATTATAATTGTGGTTTTTATAATTGCTTATATAGGATGACTCAAAACAATTATAAATGAGTCAGTGTGTTTTATTGATCAGCTGAACGGTTCACCCCATTTTCCTGAAACTTAGACCATTTTTTTAAATAAAACCTGCACGTGTTCGTTGCACTCGTATTCTAGACGAGTTTTACCGAAGTTGTCGGGGTGTAATTGTAATCATAATTTCTAGATTTTAGAAAGCATACCCATAGAATACGAGCACAGCGAGCACGTTCATTTTCCAATTTTAGTAATTATATGTAATTGTTTTCAAGATTTTTTTGTTAGTAATTTAGCTTCTCAGGGACAATAGCGAATTATTTTTAATAACATCTGCAGATGCTCGCTGCGCTCGCATTTTAATCGTTTTTTATTGCAGATCAGTTTCATAAAGTTTAGAATGCGGGCGCAGCGAGCACGTACAGGTTATTGAGGTTTCTCCGACTGTAGTGTTCCTAAAAAGTTCTGTTATCATTAGCTAATAATTTTGACTTAACTGTGCTCGCTGCGCTCCTATTGTTTTTTTTTTTTGTTAATTTAGTGTCTTAAAAAAATTACGAATGAACGGTCGACAAGGTTACTTAGATTTTATTATAATAATTCTCGAGATCTCCCTACCAGGGTAAATTACTCTCAAACGAGAGCGCAGCGAGCACTATCAAGATGTTTCAGTTCCACCGACATCAGTGATTACAATCTTTAAACTCATCATTTTGAAATAACAACAAAATTGTTCTTAACAATAAAAAATTCTCTTATTAATAATTTAGCTTCTCGGGGACACTAACGAGTAATTTTTGATAATACCTAAACGTGCTCGCTGCGCTCGCATTTTTAATGTATTTTTTTTAGATAATGCGGTCTCATTAGAAAGTCTAAAAGAATGATAATTCAGTTAAAATTATTGATTAATTTTTTATAAAAATTATAGCCAAAGAAATCTGACCTGACCGAACCTGACCTGACTCGTCATGACCTGACAAGCATCAGGTCACCGCTGTGAGTGCGAGGAAAGTACTGTATATATTTTTTAGACCGGTTTTTTAATAGTTAGAACTAATAACAGTACCTTTGGTGGGGATACCTATAATCTTCTCGTTGGATACAATGTAACACTAAACCAAAAGTTAAAAAACATACTATGAAATCGCTCACATTCTAGAAGTACCACTCGCAAGAAGCCTTTATTTATTATTCGTCATAATACACTACAAATATATATATATTCTTATAGAGTTCTGATCTCACATCTCGGTCAGTTATCACGATGACGTCACATGTCATTTTCGCCTACTTAGCTTATAAATTGTAAGTTATTATCAATTTTTTTTGTTATTTACTGATCGTCAGCTACTTATTTAATTAAAATCTGCCTGGCTCATCTTGCCAATAATCTCCGAAACTACCGGACTGATTGTTGTTAAATGTTTTGCATTTTCGGAATATCGTCTAGAAGCTTAATTGAAAAAAAGTGTATTTTTCCAGTTCTCGTTTGTGTATTCTTCCGTAATGGATAAATCCTGATAACAGATGTTCACAGCTTATGGTGCGTCACGTTTTACGTTGGTAGACTTTTAATATTATCATTGATTACATGTACAAGTAGATAAAAAAATAATTGGATACTTAGAATTTTAATTCCGCTATCGAGTGTTTTATTGTGTTTGTTACAACACAGCATCTTATCGAATTTGAGAGATAATTAAATACTAATATTGAGATTTGGATTTAAAAAATATCATCACTAGAGCTGTGCGGTCCAAATTTATTTATCCCCACTATCCGTCTCATCAGGCCAGCAGTGCAGGCCGCTGCAGTCTTGCCTTCCTCGCTTCTCGCTTCTCATTGTGTATTATTTTTCATAATTCACATCAATCGTTTTATTGTCAACGAGACCGACACTTGAACATTATTAAAATTATTATTCTTATTATTTCGTGGATGTGGATTTTAAAATCATCAACTGATTTTCAGTGAACATTATTTTTCGCGTAAATTTCTTCGCGATACGTAACATCGGCTGCCAGCCACTGGTCTGCCGTAGTAGGGGTCGATTCGCAGCGTTTAAATTTCGACCGCACAGCTCTAATCATCACCTACAACACCACAATAAGATTAATCCTTGTGTTGCTTTGCGAAGTGCTAGAAGATATTAATAAACCGATGAAGTCGTTAGAACTAAAACAAACATTCTCCCAAAATCGAAAAACGAATAATAGAATGAGGGTCGTATTGAGCGGATAATGTATTACGTGCCACCTCGCCTTCGTCTCGTTTTCCCGAACTTTCGGTGTATCGTGAGGGATGTTTGTGTTTGATTTTCAGTCACTTGGTGGTCGGAGAATTTAGAGCTCTATTAAATGGTTGTATTTAACGGGTTTTCGAGGATTTAGTGCCCGATTTAGAGATTTAAACTATGTGTTTTAAGTTTGGCCATATTTGCAACAATACTGCGGTGTTATTTATAGATCGAGTCAGCGTCGATAATCCGCTACATTTCTCACGAATTTAAATTTTACTGCAAACTCGTAAATATTGAGTAAACTTAAAAATATGAACGGTTTATGTAACGCTAACGTAATAAATATAAACATAATAGTTTACGCAAACTCGTTAATAGTGAGCCTGCAGCGATTTCGAAAGCAACCAGTAATACATTAATGCAAGCGACGTAACTTGAAGTAAAACATTTCTTAGGGAGAGAAGCACGTAAATAATTTCTCTTTTAATTAAATGTGCTACCTTTGACATTAAACTGAAGTGGAGGGTTAAAATCGGCCTGTTTTAAGGCAGTTTTCGCATAACCGAATTATGTAACTATAACACGATTTTAATTAGTTGAGCTGAAGTTAGATCAGAGTTTATATGCAAATTGTGCTATTCACTCCCTTTGCTACACACATTTCGAATTAAAAAACTGGCGCTTTGATTAATGGATATTTGAGATTTTGCTTTAACCAGGAAAACTGAACAAAGGTCAAAGGCCGTGCTTTGATTTTCCGAGAAAACAAAAAATGATTGTAATATTTTGCGTATTTGCAGCCAGTGGAAATTCTTCGTAGGATATACGGAATTTCCAGGCGTGTTTTTAATTTGATGGAATATTCTCGCTCGATGTAAATGTAGCAGACTTATTAGATGTATTTTTTTGTGAATATTTTATTTTACGCGTTTTTTATTTAACGAGGTCTTCAGAAAT